CCATGCTTTGGTTAATTTTAGACTTATCACAAGTTTGGGCACAGCAGCAACATATCCCACAAGTGAGACATTTCATTTACAGCATAGGGATCGTAGTCATTGGCCTGGAAATGTCCTCACTGTCGCAATTGGCTTAACTGCAGAACCCATGGAGAGGAGGGAATGGGTACATTTTTCGGTATAGCTCATTTTTTCAATCCGACCCTATGCAAATCAGTATTTTTCATGTGGCTGGTGCCACAGGGTTGTGGATTGAGCCATGTTAATCAAGTTTATTAAAAGGCCGGATTTATATTATGTTAATTATATGCACGTGTGCATGTGTTTCCACTTGTTGTGTTTACATGCTCATGTGCGTACACGTTTACGTGTGTACAAATGTGTATCAATTGTGTGTGTACACGTGTTTGTGTTCAGGTGTGGTGAGCCATAGTGTAGCGGTTAGCGCACTGCACTATGAACCTGGCGACCCGGGTTTAATTCCCGCTCACGGCTAACACCAGTGACGATTATCTGAACGGGTCCTGGGCTTCCCCTAGGTCGACTCAGCCTCAAATGAGTACCTGGTGCGATGTGCAAACATCGCCACTGGGGAGACGAAGGCGGTCGGGCGTGGTGCTGGCCACCCACCCCCCCTCGTGGACTGTTCCGGCCTTCATAGGTGTTCGCTAACAGCACTTGTCCTTACAGTCTGTTAAGGCTATACGGGGGATCTGTCTTTTTGTGTTCACAGGTGAAGCCCTTAATTTGGATCGAATCGGTCATTGAAAAGTTTTCTCACAGCAGAGTGGAGATCATGGTCAAGGTGAGAAATTGAGCATCTACCAATTATTTAACATCTTGAGAGCCCACCGAGATCTATTATGACTTCATCAGGAGAGCACGTTGAAATCCATTCTCTTGTAACTGACAATTTATTTACCCATTTGAGAGCCGATTGAGGTTCATTGTCATTTGATCAGTTATTTTTAATAAATCTCAATAGGCTTCCTTCTGATTAAAATTTGAAGCGAGTCCATCGAGATTCCAGAAGGTTAGAGTCCTCTCGTCCCCGAAATAGTTTAACCAGGTGGGACACCATTAAGCACCAGTCTCTTATTTATTATACGTATTTAATAAGGTAAGATCCCACTGAAAATAATATTTTGAGTTGTCATTTGCTGAATCAGGTGAAAGTAATTTGAGATAAAATTAATCTTGTAATTGGCCTTTTTTTCAACGGTTTTACTTGAATCCTGTGTCGTGGTCAAATCTTGTAATCTACATTTCGTCCACTTCCCGTTGTCCAACCAATCCCTAATTTTGCACACGTACTTGGATCGGGTGACAATGCATGCCTGTATTAATATCGGCATCAAATAATCAATTGCCTCCTATCAAGCAATTAACAAAAAAAATAATGGACGGCATATTAATTCTATATTTGTGTAGGTGAAAAAACGCCAGTCCCTAAAATGTGGAATCGGCTCGCACAAAAAGCAGACTTCGCGTGTCTCTTGTAATCAACTGGCTGTGACGTCATTCCCGCATCCAGACGTGATGACGTCATGTGTGGACCCACGTGGTAGTAATGCTCCCCCGTGTAGTGACGTCACGTGGGTGCGTAGGTCCACGCGGTAGTGACACTATAAGTCACTACAATCAATATGAAGCAGTTCTGCACCTCCCCAAGGTTTACTCAGCCTCAAGAGTACCTGGAGAGGTGTAAACACCATCACTTGGGAGACAGGCAACTGGGCATGGTGCTAGCTACCCACCCCCTCTTGTGCCAGCCTTGATATGGGATGAACAGCACTTGCCCAACAGTCTCGAGGCGAAACAGGATACATGTCTATCGGTGTGTTGCATTTTCCTTTTAGGCCAAAAGCCAATTCAAGCATCGTTCCACGGCAAACAATGTAGAGGTTCGAATCCCGGTTCCCAGCGATGCCGATTCACCTAAATTCAAGAGCAGCAGTGGAAGCGCCAAATGGGTTCCTGAAGAAAGTGTCATTGTGTGGACAATCAAGTCCTTCCCGGTATGGCCATATCCTCTCATTTCTCCCCATGTCTTCGACTGCAATTACAATTCTGCTCTGATTCCTTTTACTCCATGCCTATTTTTCCTCCATCTCCCTTCAGATCCACATAGCTTAATAATCGTCCCAGTTTATCGCTTATGGCACTTTTCTTCCTGCCTTTGCTCAGCTTTCTTCCCATGTATCCTGCCGGCCCCATGTTTCTTCTTTCCGTCTCATATCTCCCTTATTCTACCCTTGTCTGGCAGGGCGGTAAGGAGTTTTTGTTAAGAGCTCACTTTGGCTTGCCGAGTGTGGAGGCAGAGGAACTGGAAGGGAGACCTCCAGTGACCGTCAAGTTTGAGATTCCTTATTTCACTGTGTCCGGAATTCAGGTGACTCACCATCTCATTCAACCCACCCATTTACTCAATTCCTCTCACCCACACTTTCACCCATCCAGTCCTCAACTACTCTCATTTACTCACCCCCTCACTCAGTGTTTTCCCATGTCTCAGGTTCGTTATCTGAAGATCATTGAGAAGAGTGGTTACCAGGCTCTGCCTTGGGTGCGTTACATCACGCAGAGCGGAGGTGAGAGATGATCACCATCATAAGAAGCTGCATCATCACCACTGATTTTTACACGCTTTCATTTAACTGTTGTTGTCGTATCCTCAAATCTTGTAACTCTATTTTAACCCACTTCCCAATGTGGTATCGACTGAAAACTTGGTATACTTATGTCATACTGATGACAATACTATATTCTATCATTAAAAAATATATATTTTTAAAACATTCTTTCATATGTAATGTTTCGGCTTGGGTCTAACTGTCCACGATCAACTGACGTTGGCTGTAATTGGCCACGGTCCCTTACGTTGTGGCAAGCTTCGGGGCCACTTCCTGGAGTTGTGGAGTTCTTCCATTACTAGTACATTTCATTAAAGCGTTTTAATTTTTTATATTATCTTTCTTTGCAGATTATCAACTGAGGACTCATTAATCTGAAGATGTTTTAAATCCAACTACTGAATCTACACTTGCATGCAACATACACTTGCACACATTTAACACTTGCACACATTCGTCTCCCCCATACTGAGGCTTTACACATCAGGTAGTCATTTAAAGCTGAATCGACCAGTTTTGATGTCACTGAACACTGTTAGCTATCACTAGGAATCAAACTCAGGTTTGTAAAGCGGTGTCCTGACCACCACTGCTCACTACACAATTTCATTTATGCACTTAGACATTCCTTTACAAGTTCATACACAAGTACAGTAACGTATCAACATCTAAACTCATGTACGTATAAACTGTATGCAAATGCATCGACTTTAACGAATAGAAACCAGCAAATCCTAGATGCCTTATGGTTTTGTTTATATATCCTAAGGAGGCTACAGGCAATCAAATGATCGCTCATGAAATATTATACACGCTTCAGGATTTGTATTACTCGTACCTGTACGTGTTGGCTTTGTTTTTGACAGCCATTATGAACCACTTTGGAGATAGACAATCAGAACCAGGGCTCAAACACAGGTCAGCTTTGGCTCAGTGTCTCTTGACGCTTGGGCCATTATGAACTCAAGGGAGGTAACGCATAGACCTTGGGCTCAACTTTACACCCAGGACCTTGGTAGTTCTGGCCGAGTATATGCAATGGTCGTTATGAACCTCTTGAAAGGGTGAGACAAGAAACAGAACCTAAACAAGGCCTCAGCAATTTAAATACAGGCTTAGGTTTTTGAATGGAATGTATTTTAAAAATAGGGTAGTCGAGTATTTTCCAGATGTCTTTAACTGTTTTTTGGGATATTTTCCATGAGTTTTATTTTATATATATAAAAAAATTAGCGGTGTTTGAAAATCATGTGGTGATTTTGGTGATTGGAAACTCAGAAGAATGTTTAATTTACTTGTACATTCCAACTGATAATGCAGGCTGTAAGACTATTGTAAAGTTTTAAGAATCAATAAACATGCATCTGTATAAAATTGTGGGCGTGAATTAATGTGGTTTGTTCAGCAGTGTATAGTCCAATATTTCATAACAGGTATTATAGGCTGCAGGATCACATGGCAGGCAGATGGCAATGCAGCAAAATCCCATATCTGTTTCTTGGCTTCACTCACCTGCACTATTTCCATGACCCAAACAGCATTGGGGGAGGCCCTCATTCAAGCAGTGGAATGGCAAAAGCTGTGCATGTACAGTTACAGTATTTTACAGAAAATACAAATGTTAAAACAGTATAACATTGCATATTATTCTTCTCCCCCTCCTGCACAATTAATGGTGTATACTGAATTAATTTGCGACATGTTGGTAAAATCAGCATTCTCCATAAGCTCCATAAGGGGTTTGAGGTCGTGTCTTATCCATAACCTTCAGTATTTTCACCACGTTGGCCCTTTGTACAAATGGTCACAGCCCACTGCATTGCCAGCTACATATTTAATTTACCCCCTTACCACCAGAGCATATTTCGGTGCTAACAAATCCACGTCCAATACTTATTAGGTAAAATTAATTCATACATTAAATAAGATGTGTTAAATGTAGACAGAGCAAATTATAAGAACATTAGCATTAAATACTGTGAGGGTATGTTATGAATTTTTTTAAAAATCACGTTATGCGTGTAAAGCATGCATCAAAGAGTTTGGTGGTGATGATGGCGAATGTGGAAAAGTTGATGGTAGTGACGATGGTTCTGGGCAGTGATGTTGATAGTTATTGTTTGTGATTAAAAATAAATAACTTGAGAATAGTTCGAAGTCTTATCTAAAGTTATAGTACAAGCAACATTGACAAAATGGACCCTCATTATTTACATGAAATGCCATTCCTTCAGTTTACGAGTAATTTTGCCAATTACATTTCCATTACTAGAAAATGTAAACTAACTTTTTTTATATTAATGAAATTGTCTATGCATTGAGGAATATTCATGCCAGATTGAACAAAAATGCACCCAAAACATTTAACATCATGCATTTAATTTATTCAGCATTCTCAATAAAGTTCAGACAAACAATTCAAACTTAAATTAGACGTTAACCTGAAATAACGCGTCAAAAAATCTTCCAAACTCCTCGCACACCCAAGTCGGTGTGCAGATATTCATTTAAGACAATCGGCCTAAATATGGCCCTCAACTGTGATTAATTTGTTTGGTGTTGGTCTGGTGTGTGAAGATGGGTCTCACACTGTGTAGGAATTGAGAATGCAGCTAGCCTTCAAGGCAGAAATTATGTTTAGACGGTGGTGGACGGAGACAGATGAACAAAGGGGATATCCTCCACGGACGAGTCCTAACAGAGAAACAAAACGACTCATTAGTTGACCACTCAGTCAACCACTGACACACCAAGTCAATCCATTTTGTCAACCACCTACTCAATCTTCTACTCACCCACCTAGTCCACTCCATTCACCTAAACCAGACTCACCAATGTCATAATTCACCTTGCCCACCTAGTGAACCACTCATCCAATTAACTACTACCCTCCCACTCAATAAATCACCCCCTAGTCTACAACTCACCCACCCATTCACAAACTCACTTTTACCCAAGCATTTACTCACTCAATCCCTCATGCACACTCACCCAGTCAACTAATTCTCAGGGTGGTGGTGGTGCTTTGGAAGCAGGCGATGTGAATCTTGTGGTTGGGTTTTCAAGGCTTATGGTGGTAGTAGTGGAGATGGTTTCAATTGTATTGATGGAGGTTGTGATGTTCAGCGTTTCCCAAACTTTTGTGAGTCACAACACCCTCAGCATATTAAACTATTTTCCATCATGCAAATTATATGCTAATGAGAAAATATGGTTTAGTTCAAGTTGTGGTTTACGCTGTGGTGGTTGATGTACGTATGGCTTATATTATTGTTACCGATAGTGTTGGCTGTGGCAATGGTTGTCGTCATCTATGTTGATCCGATTGTAGTGTTGCCGTTTGCAACGATATTTTGTCGTATATTTAGCGGTTGTTGGAGTACTTGTGTTTTATCTGACCGTGTTTTGTGTTGTGGTTTATATGGTTGTTGCGGTACTTTTGGTTTTTAGTATGGTATCTGTGGTTGAAGCTTTTGTGCTTTTGTGGTCAGTATTGTGATTTATGTGGTTGTTCTAGTGCTGTGATTTGTGGCTGCACAAATCAATAGCAGTTGTGTGCTTGCTGTGGTTTATGTGGTTGTGTAGTAGTTTGTATTGCACTTGTTGCCTGTGCTTCTCTGTGCTGCTGGTTCCGTGCTGTTCTTGGAATGAGGAAGAAACGACGGTAGCGGTGTCGCTGGAAAAATCCACGCCGCGTGACCACCACCACTACGGCCAGCACCGCCACCACGAGCAGGCAGAGAGGGAGCACGAGCAGAGGACCTGGCACCATGCGGCCTCAAGCAAAACCACATTAATACAAACATTAGAAATAAACACGGGGCTCCACCCCAGCTCCTCAGTGGTGCTGGCTCCAAATCTCAAAACACGGCCATTTACTTTGCAGCCGTAGTCAACCACACGCAGGGTTGGCTCCGATATTATTGCACCTCCAGGGTATGCATGTTGTATAAGATTACATGTATGTGATTCTACCGGTATATGAATGTTATACTATAAAGTGGATCATGTATACATGAACTTCTTTAGCACCGTATGTACCTATAGTATTGGATGCTTTATAGTACTGCATAGTCATTGCAGTGCATTAGCGTGCTTATTCCAGACAATTCCTCAATCACCAGTTACTGACCACTGACAGACACGTACCACTTGCACAAACGCGCTACAGCCACTCACCAAAGACTGACAAATGAAATGTCTGTCTATATTACAGGCCACCCTATAGGATTTATGTACAGGAAGTGCAATAATACATTTTAACCAGCAGGCAGTGCATCACCAATTGTGATTACCAGGTGATGCGTTTTAACCTAGGTCAAAGGTCAAACAGAATCCCATGTTTCTCATGAACGAAATTATCTTTCACTGGAACATTCATGACAACAATTCCTCAAGTAAATGCTGTGACAGACACATAGCGCTGCTTATATAGAGACAAGTGCACGCATATATATCAAAACGCTACTGCTGAGCACAAACAGACGTTGTTTTCTCTTGTGTTTTGACTGCCGGGCTGCCGTTTGCACAGCCTATGCAGTCTTCATCAGGGGTTCTTAGGTTCCTACCCAGTATACTGCCATTTTAAAGGTAACGGCAGCCAACCACAGGAATTTGCACATAGATGCGATTAGTCAAACCTTTCAGTCGTCTGTGGCAGGCCAATTACCGGTCTGACCCCAATATAACATCAGTCAAAGAAAACGGTGAAGCGCATAAAACAAACAGTCATCACAAGTGTGTGTATGTACAAATGCTCGACTGTTATAATTTTGGGAAAAGAAGAGTTAATCCTAGACTTACCTCTCAATGATGCTTTGCTATTGCCAATCAGGTTACTTGACAGGGTGGTGGATGGAGGTGGCTGAGAGTGATTGGAGGCAACTGACGGAGGCTGGGAGGAAGAACTGGAGGTGATTGGAGGCTCGGGGCTGGATGGGGTGAGCATACGAGGGGAGACACGGGAGTCTGTGGTATGACAGGAAGAGGTGCATTAATATATAATTTATACCAACATATAAACACGCACTTATACAATCGCATATGCACATACTTATACAAACATACATACTGAAACATGCATATTTGCACTCACCCACAAACTCAAGTCATTCACCAGCTTTTTCACCCACCTACCTAACTTCACACCCACCCCAGTCACTGGACCCACCGACCAAACAGCGAAACACATTCACCACCTTTCTCACCCACCTACTCGCCCACTAACTGGTCCATCCACTCATTTCCACATTCACTCACACACCAAAATAGCTGAACACAAATCACCACAGTCAAACCTGGTGAAATACAAGTCCAAAATTATATTACATTTCAGTCTTTTTAATATATAATTAATGTCACAAAGGCGCATTCAGAGTTTACACACAGGCACAGCATTCAGGCAATTTACTCCTTGGGGCAAAACAACAGCCTCCCTCTCTGCTCTGATGTGACCAGGGTTGTGTGTCAAGAGTATCCAAGCCAGTAACATGAAGATTCCGAGTTCAAACCCTGGATCTGGGTGTCTGTTTGTGGGGATGGGTTCATAATCACCCATTAAATACGCATTTTACTGGCACAACTTGGGATCCTGGGTTCAAATACTTATTTCAGCCACCCATCAATAAACCGGATTCCCAAGTGAAGCGAATTGATGGTCTTGACCCAGACACCAATGACGACAACCCAGCAGCATTTAACAGGTCACATTCTGGTGATGAGCCTAACAAAGTAAAACTGATTTAGAGTTTGCCTGATTAAACAAATACTGCTGGAAAATATTGTTCCTGAAGGCACAGACTCATGGACCTAAAGGTTGTTTACTTTGTATGTGGGGAAACACACTTGTATATCTATTCTTTTATTAATATCTATACATCTAGTGGCATCCTCACAACTGACGGTTGTTGCCTATGTTCAATGCTTGGTATCGTTCGCAATCTTCAGCGTTTCGCATGGCAAGTCCTGTCAAAACGGCTCTGTCCAATCTTTACTTAAAGCTTTCGTCACGTAGATAGGTTGAACCTATCTACGTGACTTTACCGAAAGACCCAAGAATATGGCTCATTGTCCCATAAACTGGGTTCATAATGGCCGTTTCCTTCCTCTTAACTTAGATATTACGTCGCAGAATGACAAGTTGTCCGCTTCGGATATGTCACATACATACCACCTTCGTTCTTGTTAGATTTGGTTTTCGACAAATTGGACAAGTTCCAGTATATAAAGTGGTTTCACATGCGTTGAACACGCCGAGTGGGCCATTCAAAACCTGCTGTGCATCTGGTTTGGATAAGAGGCAATTGAAATGGGGTCTGGGGCAACTTCCAGGATTCTTCCCTGGCACGATGTAATGCCGCTAATCATGAGTTCCAAATTACATTTTCTTCATCCCGTGACAGCAGATGCCCATACCAGCACAAGTCAAATTCAATCTGGAGAAAGTAATATTTAATTGAAGTCCTTGTGTTGGAGCACAATTTTGGAAAGTAACAATGCATTACTCTAACCAAAGTACCAAAGACTGGCTTGAACCCTGCACTTACTGGGGCTGGCTCAATGCCTAAGACAGCCACTTTGAATTGGACATGCCCATTATAAACATGGATATTGTCAACCTCGTAACACACACGTAGACTAAGGCCCCAAGGCTCAAACCAAGGAACAGCAATCTTGGCTCCATGTCTACAATGCCACTATGAAACCAACCTGGCAGTTTGAACAGAAAATGGGCATTATCAACCTTACAGGGCTATTATAATTCTGGCATAGTCATTAATTACAATGTCATTATACATCAAATATATGGTATTGTGAAGCTGAAACCAATCATGAACTGGACAAGGCCATTATGAACCGATGAAACAGCACGGATCCCAGGCATGAAACCCATGCTGTCAAGTGTCTAAAATGGCCAAATTCTATCTACTGACATTGAAATTACGAATGCATTATGCACCAGACCTTGGTTATGACACCAACATATGCATTATGAATTTTACATGTATATTATGAACCCACAGGGGCTGCACTCACCAAAGGCGACAGTAGGATGAGGCTCCCACCATGGCAGGAACGTTTTGGTTGGAGTCCAGGATGCACGGCCACTGCCGCTGTTCCCACTGCTGTAGCTTGTGGTCATGTCTCCACTGCTGCTTCTGCCAAAGGTGCTGCTGTCCACACTGCTGTAGGGACTGGTGGTAGTGTCTCCAATGCTGTCTTTATGGTTTAAGTTGCTGCCTCTGCTATTGCTATTTCTGCTCTCTTCATTGCTTTCTCTGCTGCTGCTATCTCCACTGTCAATAACGCTGCTGCTGTAGCCAGTGTCTCCACCACTAGAGCTACTGCTGCTGTATCCGCCACTGTTACCACCTCCACTGCTGCTATCACTGGTGCTGGAAATAATACTATCACTGCTAATGCTATCACTTGTGCTACTGATATCACTTGTGCTACTGATATCACTGGTGCTGGTGACAATGCTATCACTTGCGGTAATGCTATCACTGCTGATGCTATCCCTTGTGCTGGTGGGAATGCCATCGCTGCTGATGCTATCACTGATGCTACTATTACTCATGCTGGTGGGAAATGTATCACTGGTGCTGCTATCGCTGTTGTCTTCACTACTGTTCCCGTCACTGACGCTGCTCCCAATACTGATGCTACTTCTGCTGTCTTCCTCTGTGCTATCGCTGATCCTGCCAATGCCAAGTTCGCCATAACTGTTCATAATGCTGCTGATGCTGGTGATGCCGCCATCACTACCACTATTACCGATGATGCTGGCGATGCTTCCTGTATTGCTATCACTGCTGCTGCTATAAATATTGGTATCACTGTTGCTGCTGCCACTGGTGCTGCTCGTGATAGTGTGACTATCACTGTTGCTACTGCTATTATTGCTACCATTATCACGATTACTATCTATATTGCTTTCACTACCATTTTGTTTTGTACTATCACTCAATCTCCTGGCTTCTCTATTTATATTACCGCTATTGATATTACTATTGATGGCTCCATCGGTTTCATTATTACCACTATTACCCACGCTGATATTACTGGTACTTTGTCTATTGATATTTCTACTCCCATTTCCATCACTGCTTTCACTACCCACGTCTCTATTGATATCACCGAGTCCCCTATTAACATCTTCACGGATATCTCTGCTGATGCCAGCCGTTGGCAGTGTGTGTGGATTCACAATGGCGGCCCTTTCTTCCCCATTGGGCCCCCACGATCTTCCATTGCCCATTAGCCACTGGACACCAATCCCTTGGGAAGGCTGCAAGTCCCACTCAGAATTCCTGATGGAAGATTCCGAAACCCCAAGACCTTGAGGGGAAACTCCCAAGGCCGGTTGAGAATGTGGGACATCCAAACTGGAAATTCTTGCACTTGGTTGCGAATTAGTTTTTCTAAAATCTGGTTGAGAAGTTGCTAAATGGGGTTGAGAATTTGGAGAACCGAGATGAGGATTTGTGATATCTGAATGGGAATGCGATGATTCTGGTTTGAAATGTCTCAAATCGCGTTGGGAATTTGAAGATTCGAGTGGAGAACTTTTCAACTCTGGTTGGGAATTTGATATGCCTGGGTGGAAATTTATTAAAGGTGGTTGTGAAGTTGGGATATCCATCTGGGAATAATTTACATTTTGTTGAGAATTTCTTAAATCAGACTCAATCTTTCCAAAATGAAGCTGTGAATTTGATGGGTCTGTTTGGGAATAATTTAAATTGAGGTAGGAAACCCTTACTCCTGGCTGAGAATCCCTTGAATCTGGCTGGGAATCCCTTGAATCTGGCTGGGAATCCCTTGAATCTGGCTGGGAATCCCTTGAATCTGGCTGGGAATGTTGAGAATGGGAATGCACAGGAAATCCGTCCGGGGAAGCGAAAAAATCGGGAGTTATAAACACACTACCCGTCGTCACGGAAACTGCAGATGGGTGATGGAGCGTAATATTGGTATGCGTGCCAGTGTGTTGGTTTGTGATTTCAGTTTGTGTGTTTGGATGTTGATGTGTAGTTTCGTTCAGATACTGGTCTGTGCTATTGGCATCTATATTTGTGAGTTGTGGTGTGATGGTAGAGTTTGTGTCAGAATTAGGGTGTTGATTTGAGATTGTAGTTTGTGTGTTAGGGTGCAGAGGTGTGACAGTGCCATGTGTATCCAATGGTTGCGGGGTAATGGGGTGTATGTTAGGGTGTTGTATGATGGTAGTGTGTGCATGTGAGATGGTAGCCTGGGTTTCAGGCTGTAGGGGTGCCAGAGTACCATGTGTGATAGTAAGTTGTGGTGTAATAGGATGCGTGTTAGCTTGTTGGTGTATAATAGTAGTGCGTGTGTTTGGATTAGTGTGTTTCTGTGCATTGGTGAGTTGAGGTGTGATGGTAGATTTTGTGTTGCGGCGCATGACAGTGTTCGGATTGTGTGGCCTAGTTGGGCCGGTATTATGTAGTTGGCTTATTATGGTAGTGTACGTGTTTGGCTTAGTGTGTTGGTGTGTGTTAGCAAATCTAGATGAGGGGGTAAATTTTACGTTGGGGTTTTGTGGGGAATGGTGTTGTTGTATGATGGTAGTTTGTGCGTAAGCGGGTTGGTGCACCGAGGTAGCCCGTGTATTCGGGGGTAGCGATGGCGTGGTAGGGCGGTCATCCCCCACAATCACCGCTGCAACACAACAAATCATTGCAGAATCATTAATAAACAGTATACATAAACACACCTAACTTCTGAGCAGTACGTAGGCTTTCGCGACCAATATTATTCATAATAAAGGTTTTTGGGTTAGATCGCGTTTATTTATAAATGTGTCGCAACCCTCCACCACCCGACACGGCCAATCAGCAAAAAAAGTGTCACGTTGACAAAAGACAAATAATTCACTACTTCAGCCCACCGGTGTGTTGAAGAGTTAATCCACATTTACAGTTTGCATTCAGAGCACTGAATGCCAAATCACGATCGCAAAGCAATACTACTGAAAGCGACCAGATTGTTAAAACAATAAAAATTCCATATATCTCAGGAGTAACTGACAAATTAGCCCGCGTTTTGCAAAAGCAAAACATTACAGTAAGATTTGGTACAGTACACAAAATTCAAAAACTAGTATCTTGCACTAAAGACGCATTACCTAAACTATCAACAGAAGGTGTATATCGGATTAATTGTTCATGTGGCAGCTGCTACATTGGGCAGACGGGACGTAACATCAGCGTAAGACTAAAAGAACATCAGAGAAATATTAAATTATCTCAAACACAACTGTCGGCAGTGGCAGAACATGCTTGTCAACAAGGACACTCAATTGATTTTGACAATGTTGCAGTGGTGTGTAAAACTAATTATTACTGGCAAAGACTAATTAGAGAATCCATTGAAATTGAGAGGAACAAGAATAACTTTAATCGTTCTGACAGCTACCGGCTTAGTGCGGCCTGGAAGCGTATTATTAAATAATACACATTACATTTTGATTTAAAGAATTACTAATCTACAACTCATTACTAATCATAACCAATGACTGATTACTAATCGATTATATAATTACATTACCCCCCCCCCTCCGCCTCTAATCACTGCACCTGATATGAGTTAAGTGATGACGTCACCCTGCTGCTCTATATAAAACCGGGAGCAAGCGAGGGCTTTACCATTCTGGCGAATTGCCCGATGATGCTGGAAGTATTTACCAGCGAAACGTCGTACTCAAACTGTAAATGTGGATTAACTCTTCAACACACCGGTGGGCTGAAGTAGTGAATTATTTGTCTTTTGTCAACGTGACACTTTTTTTGCTGATTGGCCGTGTCGGGTGGTGGAGGGTTGCGACACATTTATAAATAAACGCGATCTAACCCAAAAACCTTTATTATGAATTCTGAGCAGTAACTAAGCCAACTAAGCACCCTGTTTAAATTTAAAGTACAGGACCAAATCAGTCGGGAATGGGTCCGACATCGGAAGCGGAGCAGGTTTGCGCCTGGAGAGTGCTTGGATAGCCAAAAACTATTCCCATCAGGTTGTGAGTGGGACTACAGCCAACAATAAAGCAAACAATTCCTTTGTAGTATTGTACATTACTAACTATGCTCCCATGCTTCCCCGCCTTTACAAACCCGCACTGACCAAGTACATTACAAGAGCTGTAATAATTCGGATGTTATGGTTTTGATACGACATTACCTCTTAGACACTGTTAAGATGCAACTATTTACGGTGCTTATTCTTTGGGTCTTTCAGTAAAGTCACGTAGATGGTTCAAAGAAAATAACAAAAAAAACTCTACGACGTTTCGATCACAACACAAGCGACCGTCGTCAGGAGGAAAGATGGTAGCCCGAATCTCTTTGAACCTATCGACGTGACTTTACCGAAAGACCTAAAGAAAATGAATTACTGCAGTCACGAAAGCTTTAAGTCAAGATTTATAGTACATCAAAAAAAGGGGAAAATATAAAATAACAAAAAATCGTCACTGCGCTCCGTGCGCGCTATCAGTAAAACAGAATGGAATCTTGGTTAAAATTGTAATAAATGAAAACCAAAACATACAATTTCACTATAAAATACAATCTAGATTTGAAGTTTTCGTGACTGCAGGGATCCGCAACTTTGGTTCTTTCGGTAAAGTCACGTAGGTATAAAATGAATAAATTAAATCACGACGTTTCGGGCGCAACACAAGTGCCCGTCATCAGGTGGAAACAGCCGACAGCAATTAACAATAAACGAAAGAACCGAAGGGTATGAAATCCAATCCTAGAAATGGGGAAAAAAAATATTCTTGCGGAAAAGTGTGGTCAAATAACCAGGAGGACGACGAGCGTGTTGAATGCACACGAAGCGTACAAACCCATCGACTGAAGAAAAAATGAATCTCTAAATTGATTAAACTTATTTAGTCAACGTCATCATGAAGGCGGTTAAATGAGAAGATTAAAACAAGCTAAACCGCTGAACATTTTTCAACGTTACGAGTGTTAAGTCGGCAAATGAAACGCACGTTAAAAAAACTATTTAAAAAGCGACGCGTCTTTTTAATGCGATTCTAACTTCGTCTTTATAAACTTAACTCCCACCGATGACTCCTTGCTAGAGCAGTGGGGTGAATTAAAAGCCGCGCAATTAACATTTTTTTTTAAATTGTATATCTTTAGTAGGCGACGATTTTACCGTTACACAAATACAACACTCACAACACGATGAACGTTACACCAACATTTTTTTAGACGCCTTCGTGCGTTAATGTCACTTAAAAAAAACATTTATTTAAACCACCCGCTGTCAAATATTAATTGCACGTTACCGTATCACCATCGTTTGAGGCAAATTTATATAGACAGTGTTCGTATGTAAAAAAAATAAAAAAAACATTACAAGGGTAAAGTTTAAATTATTTCCACAAAACTACGCGACACTTTAAAAACGCGGCGATGTTTAAAAAAAAAAAGAAATTTCCCCCGATGTAATTTTTGTTGTTGTTAAATATACAAACTTAACTTAATATACAATTTGTGTGTACTCGTTAAGGGCTTGCCTGGCGACAGCGCAGCTAACGCCGCGCACACGAGCGCGAGCCTCGCGCCTCCCGCCATCCACGTGACCCGAACCGCAACAAGACACGCCCCCTCCGCCCTCGCTCTGACATCAACCAACGGGGCCACGCCTTTCCAATAATGTGTGTATATATACGCTTCGATGACGTCATGCTCATGCAAGGGACCGGAGGGGGGGGGAGGTGTGTGTAAGAGTGTGACGTCAAAACAGCGAGTCCTTGTTGGCGATGACGTCATCGCCAGAGGGCGAGGATGTTGTTAGCTGCCTCGCCCTCTGGGTCGTGGGTTCGATCCCGACCCTGACAGCTTTGCTGCTGTATATTTGGGGCTCGCGGCGTCTCTCTCACCGTGGTCACGTGGATTTTGATCCGGGTCTTCCCGTTCTTCTCTCCACATTTAGAATCAACATCACGCGTTTAAAGTATTTGGCTTGCTTTTGATTTAAAGCTTTCGTGACTGCAGGGAATTTTTTTTTTAAACGCCACTTTTTTCAAATTTTCTTGCTGTGGTTTTCACACCTGATGATGATTGCTTGTGTTGCAGTCGAAACGTCGTGGGAATTTTATTGTTTTATATTTTTTTATTATAAATGTTCACATGATGACAAGCCACTTTGTTGAGCTATTATTTGTGGCCAGGTCGCTTCTCAAAAAAAAACTGCTGTAGTTCAGTGGGCCCTTACCTGGTAAAATAAATAAAAAATCTTACGTATTCGTATGTGCGATGGCGTCATCGGCACAGTAAGTCTGCGATGACGTCACCCAACCGATGAATCGTTGAAAATGACGTTACAAGCGATTTAGTTTAATGTGCGTGGCAACGTTTCAACGTGATGACCTCATTATCCCTCGTACCGCGGTCGGGCATGCAAAGGCTTGTGACCGCAACTTGGCTGCTAAAGTGCCCAAGTTGGACATTGCAACCAGTTTGAAACAGCGTTGCCACGTGCTGACTAATTTCAGAAAAGAGAAAATTTGAAAAATATTTTGGCACAATAAAATATCACGTGGCTCCATCCCAAAACAAATATGGATCAAAGTCTTACAAGTTTTTTTTGTTCACGTTTCAGGAGGCATCTTGCTCGAAAGGGTTTATTTTGCTGCTTACGGCTTCTTACAGTCACACGTGGAATGTTTTTTTAAATTATCCGTTGCTGGATGAGGGCTTGTCCCAGGGATGCTGTGCCGGGTCCGTGCGGTTCACTGATCACAATTCATACCTGTCAACCCCTTATTACCGACCAATTAAGACCTTATTAATCACCCCGTGCGCTTATAAATCTCAACGTTCATCCTACAAAGCCCTATTGAAACGGCTGTACGCCGTGGACCTGAAAACTCAAATTTCCCTGTAAAGAAAAAAACAAATCGGGGTAAACCGTATTCCGTGTGGGTGGGGATGACAGTACAGCGCAACAATGGATTTTACAGCAGTGCCCTGACATCGGCTGTCCATAACAACCCCCACGCCAACGTTGGCATGGGGTGCTCCTTCAACAATGTGTGCAGTTATATAAGACTAACTACGCTGACATTTAAATAACTATTTAATAAGGAGCTAAAACCAGCCACTCGGTAATTTTGCGGGCCACATAAAACAACATTTTTCTGCTTCTCGTTTTATTTCAAGTTTTAAGCACAGACTCGATTATAACTTCGTGCCAAATGTTACCTTTCTTGCCGTTCTAGAACATTCTTCTTGGATTTTGCACCAGTCGTCGGCGTCAGTGCGCATGATATGTGACTGATGTAACTAGATGAATGAGATCATAATTAAAAAAAAAATCACATTAATGTCCACATTACTGGGACATTAAATGCGTTAGCTTAACAGAGCCCATCTATACTCTTGACTCGGTGCGTTTGAGTCAAACGTTGAAATACAATTATAAAGCAGCCTGTATCTCGGTTCACTATTAAATAACGTTCCTGATTGCCTGTAATTACACGCGGATGTTCAAGGACTGTAACATGAATTAATTTATGGCCCTATTTCAAGCCACTGCTGGATAAGGGCTTCTTTTTTTCCCTCGCCGTGTTGGTCAAGAGGGCTGCTTGACCATACTTCACCACGCTGGGTGTGGTGAAGGTGGGGTGGGGGTATGCGCAGGGCCGGTTCAGACATCACCCGCCCCTGATGTTCGCCGTGGCAGTGACTCTTAACTCGGATGGCGCGAGTTCAAAGTGCAACGCGCTAACCACTGCGCCTCCTCTCCGTCTCCGCTGCAGTGAGACTGCAGTGAGAATGCTGTACGTAATTGTTGTTGAGTAGGAAAAGGAATGGGTGCGAATGTTAGCTTTACCGGCTCTAGGTACAGTATTATTCCGATTACCTCTCGAACACAGAGGCCGGATGTCCCCCTCCGTCAAGGCTTCCTCCAGTCTCGAATCATTGTTTTTCAATTCAAAGCTAAATTATTTTATGAAACTCAGCTGCCGGTTCACCATTCCCTGGTGAATTGTTTTATTTTCATTTGTTTCATGCCAATTTTAAATCCGATGCAAGCCAGAGCAGAACTTAACTTATTATTTGGACTGTTTTTTTAATCAAAATCACAAATAAAAAAAATGTGCCTGTCTTTTATTGTCTTGGAAGCATTTCCATCCTAAAAGCAGTCCAAAATCATATTAGAGATTAGTTTAGGATCATTGGCGAGCTTCCTACGTGAATTAATTTGTGTAATGTCTCCTAAATTGCTTTTTTTTCCAAAAAGAAAAAAAATTACCGAGTTAGATGCACCAAAATCCTGATTCATGTGGAGGTTTTGTTCATCGTTCTGTCTTGCGGAAAAGTTCACTTTCCAAGTAATCAGGAGTCAATTTCATAATTGGCGGATAGCATATCGCCACTCGTCACTGCACACTTGCAGAATGGCTCAAAGTGAGCAGGGCCAGGGTGGAGCAAGGATGCAGTTGGCAATAGTACTTAATAGTATGATAATTGATTTTTTACCCTTTTATCTGGCAACAAAACTGACACCTTTTTTACAAGGAGTCTTGTTTACATTGACCACAATACCTGCGGTCGGAACGCAAACAAAAAATAACAACTCTGATAATGTATGCACCGTCCTTGAAATTGATTGGTCCACACCCGAGACAGCTTTCTTTAGAGCCTCGTCTCACATGGTGTTGCCAGATAAAAGGGTAAAAAAAGAATTATCATATTTTGTTACTGGCAAATGAGGTTTCCAATGGTACTTAATAGTACTTATGCAATTTGTATTTATATACTTTTGATTTAAAGCTTTCGTGACTGCAGGGATTCATATTCTTGGTTCTTTCGGTAAAGTTACGTGGCTTTATATACTTTGTTTATTATGTATCTTTAGTGACTTGCTTACTTTCGTATACTTTGAATGCCTGTCAGTGCTTCATAGATCATCAGATTCCTCCCGGATAAATAAAGATTCCGATTCTGGCAACGGATAATTTGCGTGTCGTGTGGAGGCGTGCATAGGAGGGGGAGTGTAGTGGTTTCAAACAACACCCAAATGCATTAAAAAAGCGCTTGGCCTGTGTGCATAATGCAAAAACCATCAGCAATACCTAAATATCTGCATTGTGATCCTCAGTCATCATCCCATTCTATGTGATAATTTTTTTTATTTGGCAGGCACCAAATGTGAGCGACTGACCTTAGACAAAAGTACATTAGCTTTTCAGGAACTTATATGAAGGTTTTTGTAAAACGCACAAAGGCAGTGTTTTTTGTACACGTTTTTGGTGTGTTGTTTGATACAGTACTTTTATTTCTTTCCAGCCTGCATTATTTTTCTGTTACAATGGGTTTTTTTCTCGTGATTTAGATTTTTAGTAACGTTGTGGTTAGGGCACTGTGCTATGAACCCATTGGTCTGAATTCCAATTCCCAGCCACGGTGGCTAACATTAGTAATAATTATTTGAACTGGTCCTAGGCCTCCCTAAGGTCGACTCGGCCCTCGAGGAGTACCTGATGCATTATGTAAGGATCAGTGATGGGGAAGACAAAGGCAGTTGGGAGTGGTACTGGCCACAATATACGCCGTTCTGACCTTCAGGAGATGCTTGCAAGCAAAAAATACCTCCACAGCAGATGTAGGTGGTAGGGGGATCTTTGTATGATGGCACAAGCGTCGTGGTGACGTCACCGCCACTTAGTGGCGGTTGTTGTTTGTATGATGTTGTTGTTGTTTGTATGATGAAACGAGATGTTTGGGCAATAGCTTACTGAAAAGAACGTTTTATTTCCAGTCTCTCATATTCACAACTTGCATATATACCGAAAACAAGAGGATATTAAATGTATACATTCAAAGCACGGCTTATCCACAGTATACATTTTAAGTAATGAAGGGTTTCGCTTATCCAATATATGATCGCATAGCGAATTTTAACCATTATATGAATTCAAGGTCTCCTTATCCAACATAGTAGAAATAACACATACACCCATGAATATTCAAAGTCTCCCATATGTAATATACATATTCTAGATATAGCGTATGACTTATTTCTCATCATTGCTAAATGCAATGTATAAATTCTAAGTCCGGCTTATCAAATACTGTATACGAAAAGTCCTGCTCATCCAATATATCAATTATAAATAACTTCAATGTCTATAAATATAACTTCATTTTCCATTATTTACCCCAGTGAAAGCCCAATGACATAACAAATTTGTGACTGACAATTTATTTAACCTGGTGAGAGAACTCCTTAAGATTTCTTAACTCTTGATATTGACGTAATATATTTAATCATGACAGCCCATCGAGCTTAATTATCAGTGTATTTCATACCTAAGTATAACTTTATATTTACGCTATAAGGCAGTGATAACAGTGGGAGAGGCTCACGTCAGGCAAAGTTAATGTTTTACTTAAACATTGGGTATATTTTTGTCTTGGATGCAAAACTAACCTTTTTTTACGGTTTTTAAAAGTAAAGTTTTACCCACCCACTCACCTACTCGTCCACCCAAACAATCACGCACCAACCCAGTTCGTAACTCATTCTACTAACTGCTCACCAACTCAGCCCTCACTGACCTATTCATTTTTACCTCCTAACTCAGGTGATTGAAAGGCAACTATGGACCAAGCAGGTGAATTACAGGTGCGTCTTAGAACAGTATACTGGTGAATTTATCATACATATGAGCGACAAGAGGGTCTTCGTAGACATGCAAGTCTTGAGTCACAGGTAGGTTTTGACCTACAGGTAACAGGTAAGTGACAGACAAGTCTTGGCATAGAGGTGACAGTCACAGGATATAGATGAGTGACAGGTACATCTTGATGTACAGGTGAGTTTTAACTGAACAGAGGAGTCAGATTTGTACATCTGAGTATTGACCATACAAGTCATTCTTGACAAAGGTTGAAAGTCATAGTTGAGTCTTGACCCAAAAAGTGAGAGTCACAGTTGAATACGGGTAAATCTTGGCATACAGGGGAGTCGTAGCTGGCTCTTGGCGTACAGGTGAGAGTCGTAAGTGGCTCTTGGAACACAGATGCGAGTCATAGGTGGCTCTTGGCGTGCAGGCGCGAGTCATAGGTGGCTCTTGGCATACAAGTGAGAGTCATAGGTGAGTCTTGGCATGCAGGGTGAGGTGGTCGGAGCGAGCAAATCTCCGGTCGCAGTCTGGGCAGGAGAAGGGCCGCGCCCCGGTGTGCTTGCGGACATGGCGCGTGAGCTCATCCGAACGTGCGAAACGCCACGGGCATGGAGACCATGGGCACACGTACGGCTTCTCTCCTGCACACGCACAGGTACACACACCATCAGCAATCGTGTAACCCATCTGTCCAACTCCTACATGCGTGCCGATTTAATTTCTCCATCTTAGCAGTGGGCGTCCATTCGGTTGCATTCCCTCTATTGGCTGCCACCCCATTGGCAGTCTTGACCTTCCGTCATCATTCCTTCTCGCAAAATGTCCTGCCCAAGCCCACTTACCTGTAATGATAGCTAGTCAATATGATGTCTTCAACTTGCGATTGCTCTCTTACGCATTTGTGGGGTGCACACCCAGTCATCTCATGCCAGTTGACTCAAAACTCCTGGGCCTGTCCCGTGACCTCCTGCCAGCGAGGCTTTCGAAAATTAACGTGGCCTCAAAGCACACCTAGCCTGGCACAAGTGTTGTAGTGACATCAACACGACTTAGTAGCGAATGTCAGATGTTTTTGTATGCGCTTGCATGTGAGTGTTCGCTACAGTGCTCACCTGTGTGTGTGCGAACGTGCGCCTTGAGGTGCGAGCTCTTGGTGTAAATCTTCCCGCACCCCGGGTGTGTGCACGCATGCGAGGCCTTCCTGATGCGTGCACCGCCACGCGCACGCACGCCTTGCACACCTGTATACACATACATACACACACATATATATAAAGTACATATAGACATATGTAATAAATATACAGAACATGATGAATTGCGGCGGAGTGCTTTGTGCATTGCGCCAAAAACCCAACAACCTGGGTTTGATGGGTTTTAGAATATTTATTTAGACTGGAGGAATCTGATGAGCTCTGAAGCTTTTATTCACAGATGTCCAGCATGGACGGCTCAGAAAATGACAACAGCAAATAAAATTGGAGAAACTGTTATGTACTCTACACAACAAATTAAGTCGAAGCAACAAAGTTTTCCCATTGACAAAATATATTCTATCCATTGCTAACTTCACTGGCAAGTTTTTATCTAATTTGAACCTGGGCCTTAGATCAACCTGCATGGACCAGTGGAATGACAGATTGTAAATAGTTATTTTATGATTATTCAGTATATATACAATCAAACATATCGAGTACACACACACAATTCACCTAGACATCGACAAATGCACACAGTATATGCACACACACACACAATATAAAGTCACAGAAAAGGTGCAGCCCTGCGATACCCTGCTTGCAGAAGGGCCCTTAGTGGGAGCTTTATATATACACACAAGGTTGTTCCAAAAAGAAACTAAAGATATTTTTGTTAGAAGACCTCAGTACAAACTGTTTCTCCAGTTACCCTCGACTAAAACACCAATGTCCCAGTGGCCCCATAAGCTTTCTAAAGCCAGCAGTAAACATATTTAGGTCAGTCCTTAAGCGACGACGACGACGCCACTGCCTTAACACTTAATAGCCTCGTCGTTTTAAACACGTAGCTTCTCTCAAAGGTCAGCACAGATTGGAGTCTGAACGGCTCGGTCTAGGCTGTGCGTGGAATGTTACAGAACTTTCTGTACAAGCTTTCACATTAATTCTGTCACCGAGTGCAGGACGTTGGTATGGATGACCCTGCTGAAACTGCAGCTATTCCACATATTTATAAATGTTGCCACGATTCATAGTTGTCACAATCTAGCAGCTTCACTCTTCAATGAATTTTATTAATTTGATACACTCAGCACAAAGACAATTGAATAAGACACTGTTCTTCTAATATGCAGGCATGCAAGGGCACCACCATCTTTGAGTGTGTTGAGAGGTCTGCCATCTAATGGCCAAATATGTTAACACGTATTGCATATTTATATAACAGTAATTTTCCATTTAGTACAATACTCAATTACACCGACATAAGGTTCCAGAATTATGAAAATCTTATTTACTGACACACACCCTCGTACATAATTACAACAACCGCCGTTTGCCACTAAGTGACAGTGACGTAACCACAGAGCTTGTGCCAGGCTAGGTGCACTTTGAGGCCACATGAAGTGTCGAAGGCTCATGGACAGGAGGCGACTGGACAGACACAAGTGCCATTGGTTCACTGAGATACATGCATAGATATAGAGTACACATACGTGTACACAACCACGGCACTTGTACCAGGCTAGATGCTCTCTATAAAACTCTAAGTGGAACTCTCTAGGACAGGTAACAGGACACACAACCTATAAGCTTGCAGAACGCACAGAGTTATATGCATGCATACACTTTTGCAAACAAATACGAGGGGTGTGGACCAGCAGTTCAAGAACAATCGTTCAGAATTCATCATGAAACTGACCCGGCATGCACCAAAATGTTACTAAACATTAGGGTCATGTCCCGATTGGCAGATCGGATTTATTTTTCAGAATTCGAATACGTCGCAAGTATATTTCTGTACTCTTTTTTTTTTAACTCTGCAGAGCATGAAGAATGTAAAGCAGCTGGAGCAGAGATTTACAAATAAGATCTGGTTATAGTTTGTGGCACAGTGCATCATGAAGATTTGTGAGAATCTAGGCTGTTCAGTGGCCAGGAGACTGCAGTAAGTTAATGCATTGTCATCACGAGGGCCAGCATCAGCAACAATCCTCAGAGTAACATCATCATCGAGCAGCAGAATCATCATTAACACTGAAAAAGAACGCATTCACTCAATGGGCCTGACCTTAAATAAACTGACTTATTGATCGTCAGCAGCATTATCAGTATACGCAACAAATATAGCAGACGTAAATAGCTGCAGCAGTCACCATAAACACAGCAGTATCTTCAAAATCATCATCAACACCATAAGCAGCATCATACACAGCATGTATCCTCTTAAACAATAGCATAAGCATCACAGCTTCATCACTGGCATATCATCAAACCACATAATCAAATCCCTTTAATACCCAAACTGCGCGACCCTGATATACACAACTATTATAGCAACACTCACCGGAAGCTTTTGTAAAGGTGTTTCCGCCGGTTGCCGCAGTAATGGTTGGCTGTTGAGGTGATGGCATTGCTCCCTCGCGGTGCTGGGCCGAGCTGGCAGGATCTTTGCCGGGGACTGATGGCAGCTCCATCGTGGGAACCTCTAGTAGCTCTGCCATAGGAACTAAAGGTTTCTCCATCCTGGGGTGTACCTTTTGCTCAACAATGGGGACCAGTGGTTGCTCTGCCCGAGGGACAAATGATAGTTCTGCTCCAGAGACCGGTTGTTGTTCCATCCTGGGTACCATTGGTTGCTCCATCCTGGGTCCCAGGAGATGCTCCACTGTGGAGACGAATGGCTGCTCCGTTCTGGGGAACAATGGTTCATTCATGGTGGAGACCTCCAGTAGCGCCGTCCTGGGGACGTATGGAACTTCTGTCGTGGAGACAACCATTGCTTCTCTCCTGGAGTCGTCCATTAATTCTGCCGTGGAGGTTAACAGCTCATTTCCAGCATTCATCAGAGTCTCTGTATCAAAGCCTACAGCCAGGCTGCACGTACTATAAAGCACCGAAGTGTCAAGCTCCGAGCTGTTGCTCATGTAGAATCCTTGTTCCGCCAAGGGGCCCATCTGCTCCTCCACCGTAAAGCCCATCTGCTCCTCCACCGTGGGACCCAGAAGGTGGGACAGGGATCCCGAGGTCGAGGGAGCAGTGAGGAGGAAGTCCAGTAGGTCATCATCAGAGAGATCAAAGGTGGGAACCTGGGTAAAGATACAGAATCATTATCATCGTAATCAAGGTCAGGAGGACATCGGGTCAAGTTCAAGGTGCCACCATGGCCAAAGCTATTAATGCTGCCACACCTCATCAATGCGTTTTACCTTTTGCCAGATCCCATTGCTGCTGCACAGTAGACATGCGACCTCCAGGATCTGCCCTAACAGTACCCCACCATGTGGTGTTCGGTCTTCACCCTCGGTCGCCGGATTCGTTCAGACATATCCATTGCCTGTCCTCGGCAACCGACCCTTTACCACCTCCACCTTCTCTCCCGAGACCAATGTGGTTAACACCATCATGCCTCAGCATCGCGGTAGCACAGTTGACAACTGGCTTTAAGGGACAACTATTATTACACCCTCATCACCACTAAATTCTGGTTTCGTCTTTCCCTTGTGACGATTGACACATCCAACAAGTATCAACCAACACAACCACCCGTTCATGATTGCATCCTACTGCGCTTTCCCTTTACATTGTGTTTCGAAATTGCAGTTTGCTTACAATATCCTGCAATTAATTATCTCGCATGCTCCACATGCTTCTAAACTAAAAGGCCAGAAGCCGCAGCTCTGAGCCGACAGTGGGAGGGAATCAACCACTGGCCAGATCTTTACCAGTCATGAACCATCAACTTCATCAGGACTGTTAACATCATATTATCTTATCACTGTCAATAACTCACATTTGTCAATAACACTGCCTTAAAAGGAAAAATATTTAATGGGCAAGGATTCTGGCAACAGTCCTTTTGCATATCAAATAAGAGGGGCACGTAGTTGCACACTAATATACACCGTGCTGACAGATAAGAATTATATTTTAAAACTTTTCTAATGAATAGTATTCAATTGGAATATGTATAGTTACCTATGTAACTGTTAGAGCATTGGTATCATCTAAAAATGTAGTCGAAATAAAACATTCTTGAGTAGTTGAACGGTAAATGGTAAAACAAAACAAATTTTACAATATGCCACCTTTACATACCCGTCCCCCCCACATAAAAAAATATAAAAGTGCTTTTTACACATCACATCAGCCACATCGCATGCTAGAAGTGCATAATTTCAGCAGCAATGGTTCAACACAACTAAAAGCCCTGGACTGATTACAACATTCAGTGTCTCATCAGCAGCCAGGCTTGTTCGAACCGACGCTGCTGATCTGCCAGCTGTTTATAAGGAAATGGTAAGATAACGATGTATTTTATTTCTGCGATATTCAAGTCGTTTCGCAGAAGTGGGGTTGGCTTTCGCTTGGAGCAGTGTCCTGCCCTTTTCCCCTCATTTAATTGAAAGTTTTAAGATTATTGACCCGACTTTCACAAACTAATTTAACTTAAACTCCACGAATACAGTGGTCCTAGATAAATCACGCCAAACTTGTTTATGAAATTAAGTAGCAACCTTTTTGCGGAATCCAGTAAAGTATCCGTTCAAGGATCTCACCCAAGATTCCGGAACTGAACGAGACTCCAAACATCGCACCTCCTTCGCTTTGACATTCCTTGAAGACACCGGTGTAACCATCGACCCCATCGGAACATCAAGAGGCTTTTAAGCAAATCTTCTTCACGAATGGAAAACCAAAGACAAGCCACAGTACCCAGTGCGATTGTGGACATGCAACCAAAACTATGGGCCATATCGTAAACCACTGCAGTCTGCGGCTCCTTCAACGGAGGAAACAGCAAAATGACACCAACCCTCTCCTTAAGCCCCCCTCTCGTCGTGGCTAGCAGACCTCGACAATGACATTAAACGCTCAACATACTGCCAGCATGCGCAAAAAATAGAATGAAAGTATCCGTTTGATGTTTTCAATGCGCATCACGGACATCGAGGGCGGAGAAAGGCGGTGACGCATTGATTAAAGTGCTTGCGGATATGAACCCGGTGAACCTACCTGGCTAACCTACCTGGCTGGGTTGGATCGCCAGCTACAGCCACCATCAGTGGCGAGTGAAAAATGTACTGGTTCTGCAGCCCCACCCCCCACCAACCTCATACTTTCAGCAGCCCACAATGACCCCGGCGTGGTGAAATATGGTCAAATAACCCCCATCCATGACCTAGACCGGCATTGGAAAATACCTACATCTAGCGGTGGATTGACAGCGAACGACCTGTATTTTACATTACGTGGATATTAACTTTGAGTGGGTTTAAATCATGAGTGATTAAACTACAACAAAATTTGCTATAATGGATACTTTAAAATGAATATCCTATGTTGCGACATGGGCGGCGCCATAACCACTGTACAATGCGGGAGAGAAAGTGGGCGACTTGAGGATTCGGTGGGAAATTAGACGTTTCGGGGACGTTACAAACACAGAGAAGAGATGGTGACAGACACCGACAAGAGACGTTACAGACACCGACGAGAGACGTTACAGACACCGACGAGAGACGTTACAGACACCGACGAGAGACGTTACAGACACCGACGAGAGACGTTACAGACACCGACGAGAGACGTTACAGACACCGACGAGAGACGTTACAGACACCGACGAGAGACGTTACAGACACCGACGAGAGACGTTACAGACACCGACGAGAGACGTTACAGACACCGACGAGAGACGTTACAGACACCGACAAGAGACTTTACAGACACCGACAAGAGACGTTACAGACACCGACGAGAGACGTTACAGACACCGACGAGAGACGTTACAGACACCGACGAGAGACGTTACAGACACCGACGAGAGACGTTATAAACACCGACGAGAGACGTTACAGACACCGACGAGAGACGTTACAGACACCGACAAGAGACGTTACAGACACCGACAAGAGACGTTACAGACACCGACAAGAGACGTTACAGACACCGACGAGAGACGTTACAGACACCGACGAGAGACGTTACAGACACCGACGAGAGACGTCACAGACACCGACAAGAGACGTCACAGACACCGACAAGAGACGTCACAGACACCGACAAGAGACGTCACAGACACCGACAAGAGACGTTACAGACACCGACGAGAGACGTCACAGACACCGACGAGAGACGTCACAGACACCGACAAGAGACGTTACAGACACCGACAAGAGACTTTATAGACACCGACAAGAGACGTTACAGACACCAACAAGAGACGTTATATAGACACCGACAAGAGACGTTACAGACACCGACGAGAGATGGTACAGACACCAACGAGAGACGTTACAGACACCGACGAGAGACGTTACAGACACCGACGAGAGACGTTACAGACACCGACGAGAGACGTTACAGACACCGACAAGAGACGTTACAGACACCGACAAGAGACGTTAGACACCGACAAGAGACGTTACAGACACCGACGAGAGACGTTACAAACACCGACGAGAGACGTTACAGACACCGACGAGAGATGTTACAGACACCGACAAGAGACGTTACAGACACCGACAAGAGACGTTACAGACACCGACGAGAGACGTTACAGACACCGACGAGAGACGTTACAGACACCGACAAGAGACGTCACAGACACCGACGAGAGACGTCACAGACACCGACGAGACGTTACAGACACCGACGAGAGACGTTACAGACACCGACGAGAGACGTTACAGACACCGACGAGAGACGTTACAGACACTGACGAGAGACGTTACAGACACCGACAAGAGACGTTACAGACACCGACAAGAGACGTTACAGACACCGACGAGAGACGTTGGAGACACCGACGAGAGACGATAGAGACACCGACGAGAGACGTTACAGACACCGACGAGAGACGTTACAGACACCGACAAGAGACGTTACAGACACCGACAAGAGACGTTAACAGACACCGACAAGAGACGTTACAGACACCGACGAGAGACGTTACAGACACCGACGAGAGACGTTACAGACACCAACGAGAGACGTTACAGACACCGACAAGAGACGTTACAGACACCGACAAGAGACGTTACAGACACCGGGAAGAGATGTTACAGACACCGACGAGAGACGTTACAGACACCGACGAGAGACGTTACAGACACCGACGAGAGACGTTACAGACACCAACAAGAGACGTTACAGACACCAACAAGAGACGTTACAGACACCGACGAGAGACGTTACAGACACCGACGAGAGACGTTACAGACACCGACGAGAGACGTTACAGACACCGACGAGAGACGTTACAGACACCAACAAGAGATGTTACAGACACCAACAAGAGACGTTACAGACACCGACGAGAGACGTTACAGACACCGACAAGAGACGTTACAGACACCGACAAGAGACGTTACAGACACCGACAAGAGACGATACAGACACCGACGAGAGACGTTACAGACACCGACGAGAGACGTTACAGACACCGACGAGAGACGTTACAGACACTGACGAGAGACGTTACAGACACCGACAAGAGACGTTAACAGACACCGACAAGAGACGTTACAGACACCGACGAGAGACGTTACAGACACCGACGAGAGACGTTACAGACACCGACAAGAGACGTTACAGACACCGACAAGAGATGTTACAGACACCAACAAGAGACGTTATAGACACCGACAAGAGATGTTATAGACACCAACAAGAGACGATACAGACACCGACGAGAGACGTTACAGACACCGACAAGAGACGTTACAGACACCGACAAGAGACGATACAGACACCGACGAGAGACGTTACAGACACCGACAAGAGACGTTACAGACACCGACAAGAGACGTTACAGACACCGACAAGAGATGTTACAGACACCGACAAGAGACGTTACAGACACCGACAAGAGACGTTACAGACACCGACGAGAGACGTCACAGACACCGACAAGAGACGTCACAGACACCGACAAGAGACGTCATAGACACCGACAAGAGACGTTACAGACACCGACGAGAGACGTCACAGACACCGACAAGAGACGTTACAGACACCGACGAGAGACGTTGGAGACACCGACGAGAGACGATAGAGACACCGACGAGAGACGTTACAGACACCG